TACCTGTTTTTTGTGTTTCTGAAAAAGGGGGCAAGCACTGCTGGCTCATGCCTGTAATCCTAGCTCCTTAGGAGGATGAGATCTGAGGAACATGGTTGGAAGCCAGCCTGGGCAGACAAATCCAAGAGACTCATCTCCAATTAACCAAGAAAAAGCCAGAAGTGAGACTGGCAGCATTGAAAAGGAGCAGTAAGTGAAAGTACAAAGGTCTTGAGTTTGAGCCCCAGTAATAGCACAAAGAAGAGAGTCCACAGAACAACAAATTCTGAGTTCATGAGTCCCTTTTCTTTCTTTCTTTCTTTCTTTCTCTTTCTTGCTTTCTTTCTCCTTCCTTCCTTCCTTCCTTCTTCTTTTTTTGAGCTATGGTTCTAGACATGAATAAACTGGTGCTCTTGGACTTGGCCTCATTCAGAACAAACAGAGGACACTGGAATGGCTTGACAGAGTCTTCGTTATTATTGTTGGTACCCACCACCTTGCTGAGTCCCTGGAGCCAGCCCAACCTGCTCCTTCCTCTTTCTGAGCTAGCATTTTTTTCTGCTAGTAGCTAAATGTGAGCTACAGAGTAACTTGGATCAGATGGAGAAATTTCATTTGAAATTCATGTTGCCTCATCAAGAGAGTCCCAACTGCTGAGCACCATCCATAAATAGGGGTGGGTATTAATTCTGCCTTTTTTTCCACCTTTATTTTTGTGCTAGTACTGTGGCTTGAACTCAGGACTTGGGTGCTATCCCTTAGCTGTTTTGTTTCAAGGCTAGCATTCTACCACGATTCACAATTCTGCTTCTGGCTTTTTGTTGGTTAATTGGAGATGAGAGTCTCACGGATTTTTCTGTCCAGGCTGGCTCTGAGTAATTAGGATTGCAGGCAGGAGCCATCTGCACTGGAAATTCAGCCACTACTTTCCCAGGATCAAAGCCTTGTCATACAGAGAGTCCTTTGATGATAGCATACCCAACTTTCTGGCCTCCTCCCTGCAGGCTCCAGCCACCCTTGCGAATTCTGTGAAGAAGCAACTGTATGCAGGATTACTCACCAATTACAGGCAGAGGAGATGAGAGAAGACAATCCCCCCCCACCTTCCCAACCCGTCCCCAAGCACCAGAGCGCCTCCTCCTTAATCTACCCTTCACGTGTCCCACACTCCTCTCAGCACACAGGCCAGGCCTGTTTCCTGCTTCCTGCCTTCACCGAGGGACAGGACCCAGCCTCCTTAACTGGGGACAGCCAAGTCAGGGCAGCGCTGACTCAACAGGATCGGGCACTGGAGTGAAAATTCCTTTTTTGGAAGCCAGGCAGTGGCTTCCTGGAGAGCAGGATCCTTGGGAAATGACTCAAGCCCAAGGGCTGGAAAGGCTAGAGCACTCTCCCCCATCCCTCCTCCTACTCCCCCACCCTCACCCCGGTGGATGCCAACGCCGGGAGGGCCCTGTGGCGGAGACCCCAGAATCCCTCTCTCCTGCAGTGACTGTGGACTTGGACAGGCTCAGGCCAGCTCCTCTCATAGATCACAGCACTGATTGTTGCATCTGTCACAGTGTAACTCCCTCCCACCCCCAGCCACTCTTCAACCAAAACAGTGCCTGAGTTTTCACTAGGAAAATCCATTCTGAGGGAAGGCAGAGTTTTAAGGATTCCTAGATCTTCCCCATTGACTTTCTGGCCACAGGGTGTGTGGGTTCCTGGCCTGGCTGAGGGAGAACTGGCCTGAGCTGACAGTGAACTCTGACCTGTATCTGTGAAGCGAAGGACCTCTAGGCCCCTGGCGAGAGCAAAGATGGTGGGGTATGGGAATTGTTGTTCTTTTGGTTCAAGGTACCCTGTCATGCCTTCACTATGCCAGAGCTGGCAGCTAGGGAAGGCAACAGACCTTGTAGATATAGATGGATGGGCAGATAGGTAGGTAGCTAGATAAGATAGATAGGTGACAGATAGTAGACAGATATCTATATTTATCAATCCAACTATTTAGCAGTCTACCTATCTATATTAATGTCAGTACTGGGACTTGAACTCAGGGCCTGGGTGCCATCCCTTAGCTTTTTATTGCTCAAGGTTAGCACTCTATCACTTGAACCACATCTCCATTTCCTGCTTTTGGGGGACAGCTAATTGGGGATAAGAGTCTCACAGACTTTCTTGCTCAGATTGGCTTCAAACCATAATGTTCAGATCTCAGCCTCTTGAGTAGCCAGGATTATAGGTATGAGCACCCGGCTAAGGTGCAGTATTTCTTAATAGGACAATCACACATGACAATAGGAAGAGATTTGTCTCCTAGCTAGAATTTGTTCCCCTTTATTCTAGGAAGAGCACCCTGTTTCCTTCTGGAAAGCCCATTCCCTGCTGTGATTGCAGGGCACAGGAAGAGATGCAGCTCCAAACCATCTTGACTAGGGGATGAAGTTGTTATCTAACTCTCCTGGGGATGGGGGGTGGGACAGTGACAAAGCCAGCTCCAGGGAAGGGAGAACCATGAGACTGAAAGACAGACCCCAGACAAGGTCCTGTATCCAGCTGTGCCATATCTGGAGCCCCTGTGGCATCTGCAGCCTGGGAGATTGCCCCTGGCTATCTAGTCCCTTCCAGGTCCCAGGGCTGAAGTCACTATGCTAGACTCCCACCCAGTTTTCAAATAGTTTGTTTTTAAAAGGAAAGGCTGAACATACTGCTAGAAGGCACCACAAATTATCAGGTTCTTAGGTTTTGGGCCCATTGGGCTCATTAAAGGGCCACCTTTAGAAGGGCCCCCATGTAACATTTGATAACACAGTAATTAGAGACTTAAGTTGGGTGTTGGTGGCTCACACAACTAGCTATTCAGGAAGCTGAGATCTGAGAATTGAGGTTCAATGCTACCTTGGACAGAAAAATCTAAGAGACTCTTATCTCCAATTTAGCACCATAAAAGCCAGAAGTGGAGCTGTGGCTCAAGTGATAGACTGCTAGCCTTGAGCACAAAAGCTTAGGGACAGCATCCAGCCCCTGAGTTCAAGCCCCAGGACCAGAAAAAGAAGCCAAGATTAAAGGTATGAACCACATATCCACTTCCTGCTTTATGGGGGTAGTTAATTGGAGATGAGAGTCTCACAGACTTTCTTGCCCAGGCTGGTTTCAAACCATAATCGATTCACTCCTAATCCTGGCTACTTAGGAGGCTGAGCTCCTAGGATCCAGTCTAAAGCCAGGCCAGGCAGGAAAGTCTATGAGACTCTTATTTCCAATTAACCACCAAAAAGCTGGAAGTGGAGCTGAGGTTCAAGTGGTGTAGAGCTAGCCTTGAGCAAAAAATGCCAAGGGAGAGTGCTGAGAGCCTGAGCTCAAGACCCAGCACCAGCCCAACATTTGGGGCTGAATTTTGTTTCTATGTGATGGGTTTTTGTTGCATTTGGAGAGATGACAGAGATATGACACGTCTTACTGTGATTCTTGTGATGGTTTTATTGGAGCATGTGAGATCCCCAGAGGGTCTGATACATAGTCATGCTACCTTTCATGTAGCCCTCAAAACCCCTCCATGTCTTCTTCCCCCTCCTGGGCAACCTGCTGCACAGCTCTCCTAATGCACCACCAAGCCCCCTTCTCATCTCCTGGAGCCCTTCCCAGCAAAGGGAACCAGCCATCTACATGCATTCGTGGTAAATAACACAGCAGCATCCTAGAAATTCATTAATGGGCTCCCTGTGAGGAGAGGGCCAGCCCAGCCCTCAGCAGATGGGGTCCCACTATTTGTACCTGAACCAGCCCTGGTCCTGAGACTGAGGCGGAGGCTGCTGCTCCGTGTCCCCCAGCACTCGAAGCATGTATGTGCCTGTGTAGATGAGAAACTGTCCTATCACCTGGGAAGCATAGGACATGAAGCGCAGCAGACTCCTGCAACAGAAAGAGAAAGGAGCCGCGTCAGTGAGACCTGGAGCCTCAGAGCTCAGAGAGGCAGGGTTACACTTTGACAGCAGGACATCTGAGCAATGCCACCTGCAGGACTGAGAGTGCTAGTGCGGTCCTAGGGGACCTGAGACTGCCCAAGGCCACCCCAAGATGCAGATGTACAGTGTCCCCTTCCACCACCACCCCCCGTCCCCCGCCAGTCACTGGAGAGCTGAGCCCATCCATGCCTTAGAGAGATCAGGCTGCAAACTCTGGATGATTATGATCCTACAGTCGAATGATTTATGAAGACTGCTGGAAGATTCTAGCTTGTTCTTGAAGGTACAGGGAAGGAATAATTTGTCCTGGGCTTGCCTCTTAAGCCCACAAACTGAGCCAGGAACTTTAAACTGAAATTTTTTAAAGCCTCATTTTTCTTATTCTTGAGCTCAGATTTCCCCCATTGCCCCCATTTCCCCCATTCACAAGATGGCAGTGGGCCATGCAGCTGTGGCTGAAGCCCCCCCCCCCCAAACACACAGAGGAAAGGGACATCCTCCCCAACAGCCCTCCACCTGGAGCCCCCCACGGGACCCTAGGGAACAATGTCTCTGTCGTGGTTAAGGAAGCCATGGGACCCCTTGGAAGACAGTGACACAAAGGCTTTTGTTGACGTGGGATTTGAGGTAGAGCTTATTTCCTGCATTTTACTTTTCTAAGCTGTAACTCTCCAGCCTCACTTGAAGAACTAAATCAAAGAGCTGCTCTCTCCCATCTCAGCACAAAAATAAAGCTCTCCCAGACATCAGGTGTTTGCCACTCTAGCAATGGCCATCATGACAAGCCCAGGTGGGAAATGATACCATGCAAGAAGCCATGCGTGAGCCCCTTTGTGCAGGACCAAGCCTGGGGGAGAGCAGGAGGGCACTTCTCATGGCACTGTGTCCATGAAGAGCAGGGTAATCTTTACAGGGCCAGTGGAGAGGGGAACAGGGTCCTCAGAGAAACAAACAGGCCCTGCCCCACCCTGGGTATACACACAGTACTTGAAGACAAGTGTTGCAAGTATTTTTTCTAAGACAGTGTCTGAGTCTGTAGTCTAGGCTGGCCTCAAACTCATGATCTTCCTGCCTCAGCCTCCCAAGTGCTTGGAGTATAAGGATATACTACCATCCCACACCTGACAGTACTCTTCAGACTAGCTTCAAAATCCTGCCTGCCACTGTCATCCTCTCTCTTCTCTACTTCCACCGAAGGAATTAATGCTTCAGAGATTCACTGGGAATTTCCTGGAGGAGTACAAGGGTTCATTTGGAGCCTGCACAAACATGAAGAATTCATTTTAAGCCAGGCACTGGAGGATCACATACGTAATCCTACTTACTCAGGAGGCTGAGATATTTCCAGCCCAGGAAAGAAAGTCTAACCTCCAGTTAGCTAGCAAAATGCTGGAAGTAGAGCTCAAATGGTAGGATGCCAGCCTTGAGCAAAAAAGCTAAGGAATGGGGGGCTGGGAAGGTAGCTCAGTGGTAGAGTGCTTGCCTTGCATGCATGAGGGCCTGGGTTCGATGCCTCAGCCCCACATAAGCAAAATAAAGCTGGAAGTGGTGCTGTGGCTCAAGTGGTAGAGCGCTAGCCTCAAACTGAAGAGCTGAGGGACAGCGCCCAGGCTCAGAGTTCAAGCCCCACAACCAGACCCCCCAAAAAAAACAAATTAAAACAAAGCTAAGGAATGGTGCCAGGCCCTAAATTCAAGCCCTAGTCTCTCTCTCTCTCTCTTTCTCGCTCTCTCTCCCCCCTCTCTTTCTCTGTGTCTGTCTGTCTGTCTGTCTGTCTGTCTCTCTCTCTCTCTCTCTCACACACACTGGTTCTAAAAACAATAAGATTCAGACCTGAGAGGTTAAGTCAACTGTGAAAGATCACACAGTTACTCAAAGGAAGGATTGCAAGTGACCCTCCCAGGCCAGGACTCCCTGGCACTGGCACAACTCTGGTTATGAAGCAGGGGCACCCAGAGAGGGACCCATGCAACATAAACAGCTCTGCTGTAGTTTGGACAAGTGTCCCTCAAAAGCTGTGCTAAGGGGTTGGCCTTGTCCGGGGTACTGTTGGGAGGTAGGGCCTAGTTGGAAACCTTCCAGTCTTATGGGAGTGCACCCTTGAAGGGGACAGTGGGACGGTGGCCCCTTCCTGTAATTCACTCTCTGTCACCACAAGATGAGCAGCTCCTCAGCCATAGGTTCCAACTATGGTACACTAACTTATCTCAGGCCAGGAGCAGCAGAGACAGCTCATCCTAGACTGCAAGCTCCACACTGTGAGCCTAAAAAAGCCTTTCCTGGTTTTAAGATGATTTGTCTCACGCATATTGTCACAGCAACAGAAAGCTAGCTATTACCAAATCGGAGGCATGGATTGTGACGTTGGCTTTTCAAAGCTATCTCTTCTGGGATGTTGTCCTAGTATGTGAGATGATGCTATCCTGGCATTATGTGGAGAAGGAATGGGCCACATAACCAGCAAGGTGTCATCACTTAACAGGAAGAGAAGACACATGTAGAAAAGTATTCATGAAGTTTTGGTGGCTAATGTAGCAAGCCACGCCAGAATCTCCATGGCTTATATTTTAGGTATTCAATCTTAGAATTAAGATTGTGTGTGTGTGTGTGTGTGTGTGTGTGTGTGTGTGTGTGCATGTGCACGCATGCATGAGCATGCACATGCCAGTACTGGGGCTTAAACTCAGGGCCTTGTGCTCTTGCTTGGCTTTTTTACTCAAGGCTCTACTAGTTGAGTCCCATCTTTACACTTCAGGGTTTTTACTGGTTAACTGGAGATAAAAGTCACTCCGATTTGTCTGTCCAGGCTGGTTTCAAACAGTGATCCTCAAAGCTCAACCTCCAGAGTAGCTAGCTAGGGTTACAGATGTGAGCCACTCAAGCCCAGTTTAGAATTCAGATTTTTACATCTGTAGCTCTAGCTCTTATAAGTGAAATTTAGATCTTCTTTGTAGTTGTGATTTAGCATAGTGTCCATTTAGAATTTAATTGTCTTTAAAAAATTGTTTGCCCTTGACTTTGTGTTTTCTGTGGCATAGCATTAAGTGGCTAAGACTATGTGGATTGCAGTGCTTGGAACAGCATTGGCACCTTCCCAAGATGGACCAGGCCCTGGTCCAGCTAAACCACCTGGGCCTGGTACTGGGGGCTCCAGGCCCCCAAAGGGAGCCCTTAGAGTTTGTTACCTCAGCATGGCCTTGAGCCCATTGCACCGGATGTCGTAAGACACTGAATACATCTCATACATGGTGGCCTTGACATTGAGACAGCCCAGGAAGTCCTTGGGATTCAGCCTGTACAGATCGAAGGTGACTCTGGCTATTCCTGCTTTCTTTGGCTGCTTGCAGACTGGAGCATACTTGCTACCCTAGAACAATGAATTAAGGAACAAACTTTAGAAACACCGCAAGTAGGGAGCCTCAGACTTCATGATTCTGCTATTAGACTCTTCTGAATATCAGCTTAAAATGTGTCAACAACTAAGCTGTGCTAATTGAATATTGTGTGTGTGTGTGTGTGTGTGTGTGTGTGTGTGTGTGTGTGTGTGTGTGCGTGTGTGTGTGTGCCTGAACTGTGGCTTGAATTCAGGGCCTGTATCTTAGCTTTTTCATTTAAGGCTGGAACACTATCACTTGAGCTACAGCTCCACTTCCAGTTTTTCAGTGGTTAATTGGAGATAAGAGTCTCAGGTACTTTCTAATTCAGGGGTAGCTTCAAATCATGATCCTCAGATCTCAGCTTCCTGAGCTACTAGGATTACAGGCGTGAGCTACCAGTACCCAAAACTGTGTCAGGGTTTTATCAGGCCAACATGTCTACACTTGGACTAAGTCCAAATACCTAACTCTGAATCCTCCTCAAATCTACTTGCTGTTTAGTGATTCAGGGTGAGTCTGACCTGACTTTGGGTCCTGCATTTGAGGACCCAGGTTTCTGTAAGCATTTGTTGTTCCCAGTGTATCAGCTTTTGTCCCCTGATATTACTGGAAAATAGGGCCCACAACAAATGCCTATAGAATCCACTTTTTGACAGCTCAGGACTCCAGTTGGCCTTCTAGGTTGGGAAAAAGCAGATGAAGACATCATGGCCAGGTTTTCTCTTTTCTTTTCTTTTTCTCTCTGTCTCTGTCTCTCTCTTTCTTTTTTTGGTGGCACTACGGTTTGAGTTCAGGTCCTTGCACTTGCTAGGTAGGCACTCACCCTTTATGCTTTGGTTATTTATTTTTATTTTTGCTGGTCCTAGGTCTTGAACTGTGGCTTTAAGTGCTATCCCTAAGCTCCTTTTGTTCAAGGCTAGCACTTCACTACTTGAGATACAGCACCACTTCTGGCTTTTTCTGTTACTAACTGGAGATAAGCGTCTCCCAGACTTTCCTGCCCTGGCTGTCTTTGAACTGCAATCCTCAGATCTCAGCTTCCTGAGTAGCTAGGATTACAGGGGTGAGCCACTGGTGCCCAGCTTGCTGTGGTTATTTTTGAGATGCGGACTTATATTTATGCCTTGGGCAACGTGGACCATGATCCTCCTATTTATGCTTCCTGTATAATTGGAAAGACATGACAAATATATTAAAACAAAAAGTGGGAGGTCCAGAGTTTCAAGCCCTAGTACTGCAAAACAAAGAAAAAAAACTATGTTAAGACTACAAAGTCGTAAATGTTTTTAGCTACTATTCTGCTACAGTTCTTTATCATTTGCCTCACATTCCTTTCTGACTCTCCCTCAATGTCTTTCTTTAGTCTTGGTCCTCATAAAGCTAACATGCAAGTGACCTACCATCATTTGGGCACTACAGCTAGCTGATTCCCTGCTCTGCTTCTTCCTCAAAGGGTCACAGTGTCTGCTCCTGCAGGGTTCAATGGTGTGAGACTGAGGAGGGAGACCTCTGCTGGCTATATCTTGGTTGAAGTTCATGTCCAAGTCAAAATAGGCCTCAAGATAGATCAGGCTGCAGATAGAGTGGGCAATCAGTGTGGAGGTGACCTGTTCTACCCTACGGGGTGATGGCTGGGAAGGGCAAATCAAGAAAAGACTCCAGAGCCAGTGGGTGGAGCTCAGTGATAGAGCAGGAGCTCAGAAGACCCCAACCTGAGTTCCTGGTGGAGACAAGGCCTCAAATTCTTCCTTGGACTCGCAACTTCACCATCTTTGCATCAACTACAGCTCCAGTCCTGAACCCTGTCCCATTTCCCAGGCCACACTCCTCTGGGCTGGGAAGGTGGCTTAGTGGTAGAGTGCTTGCCTCACACTCATGAAGCCCTGGGTTTGATTCCTCAGCATCACATATACAGAAAAAGCTGGAAGCGGTGCTGTGGCTCAAGTGGTAGAGGGCTAGCCTTGTGCCCAGGCCATGAGTTCAAGCCCAGAACTGGCAAAAAAAAAAAAGTATTTGACTCGGGTACCCTGCATCTTGTATATACATTTTTCTTTTTCTTTCTTTTTTTTTTGGATCCAGTCGTGAGCCTGAACTCTGGACCTGGGCACTGTCCCTCAGCTCTTCAGATCAAGGCTAGCGCTCTACCACTTGAGCCACAGCGCCAACTTCCGGCTTTTTTTC